CCTAGTGATGGTCTGGCTGCTGACCCTGGGCTGCCCTGGAAAGCACAGGCAGATACTTCCCATCCCAGTCTGGACGACCTCCAGGACAGTATAACCATGGAAGGAATGCCCCACGCCTCATGAAGGAGACCACAAACTGAGTAGAGGCCAGCAGACAAACGGCTCTCCCAAGAGGTGCCCCTGAGGACCTGGTGTTCTGCAAATATAGGTGGGAAGTCAGGCCAGCCAAGGTGACCCTCTGCAATACTTGAGGAAGAGTGTACAAGGACCCTACACGGCATCAAAGACCTCAGGATCTTGAGGAAAGCACTCAGTCCAGGCTGTTCCCAGCAAAGAGCAGGCAGTGGGGACAATGGGGGACAGGGAGCTGTGCCCTGAGTGGCTGGGCCACTACAGACACTTTCACCACCACAGATCCTGGCCCTGTCCTGTGCCTGACAGCCCCACCCAGCCTCTGGGGACACATGAGCACTCAGCCTCCATCCCTAGGGATACCATCCAGTGCCCAGATCCCCACCTCCGCCACAGCCCCAGGCCTTCCTGGGACCACTGGTGCCCTTGTCTTGCCCTGTCTGAGTGGAATTTTGCAGGGTACATCCGTGAGGCAGGAGAAGCCCCATAAGTCACAAGCACAGGGGATCACCCCACAGGGGTCAAAGGGAAGGGGTTGGAGGCAGGTCAAGGGCTGGTATCCAGGGGTACAGGACAAGCCCCTTCTGGACAACAAACAGTCCTGCAGGGCAAGGGAGCAGGCAGATTGGGTCAGCCAGGGTCTGAGGGCCCCTCCAGAACACAGATGAGACGTCGCAACCCCCCAGGGTCTGGGGTTCACATGTGCCTGCCTCTGCTAAGGTCACCTGAGAGCCAGGTACTCCGGACAGGTGCATACCTTGGGCCAGCCCTGTTCAATGTAAGATTACTGGGAAATATTCCAAAAGGGCTAAAGCACACAGAGTGCACATGCCATCTCCCTGACTCTGCAGAGTGCACAGGGCCCACTCCCAGAGTATACATGATCCCCACCCCCCCGAAATACACACAGCCCCTACACAGAGTGCACAGGACCCCTCACTCCCAGAAACTGCACATGGTCCCTACACAGAGTGTACACCCCCTCAATCCCACACAGAGTGCACATGGCCCCCCACTTCCAACAAACTGCACATGGCCTCCACACAGAGTGCACACAATTCCCACACAGACTGCACATGGCACCCCAGAGTGCACATGACTCCCTACACTCACAGAGTGCACATGACCCCCTACTCTCACAGAGTGCACATGACCCCCTACTCTCACAGAGTGCACATGACCCCCTACTCTCACAGAGTGTACATGACCCCCTACTCTCACAGAGTGCACATGGCCCCCTACTCTCTCAGAGTGCACATGGCCCCCTACTCTCTCAGACTGCACATGGCCCCCTACTCTCACAGAGTGCACATGGCCCCCTACTCTCACAGAGTGCACATG